TGAGTCCTCAGGGCTGCCCGCCGGAGGAATGGGGTATGGGGAGTCGTTTCGCCTGCCCGAGGTTGGCCTGCAGCGAGTCCCCAAAGGCAGCGGTCCTGCGTGTAGAAGGTGGCTTTTCCAGACAGGCGATGTCATCCTGGAGTAGGTATTTTATTTCCCGCTGCAGAGGCGTTTGCGGCCCCGTGGCAGCAGGAGGACTTGCCGTTCCAAGCCGAGGCATGCTGCAAGGGACACGGCAGACAATGCTGCTTAATGCTGTATATTGATGCTGGCAAAGAACTCCGGGCTTGCTTTCTCTTCCTAGCCTAGAGCTGCATGCATAGCCTATGTAAGACAGATGAGTGTTGTGTATATCTTGAAATCGGTGACCAGAGTTTTTCAATAAAGTGTTACTATTAGAGGTCTCCTGGTTCCTGATGCTGAAAGCTTTGAAAAGCAAAGAAGCTGCTTTTCTTCAAAATGTCATATTACTTGGAATGAACAGAAATAACAGAAAAGGTTGTTAGTGTTGGACCTTTCTGTGTGTGAACCAAGGAAGGTGTTCTGCATTTTTTAAAACTGAGCAAGATAAGTGTTACCTGTAGCTTTCTTTTCCACAAAGTCTGCTTGCTGTCTATGATAAGGTCATGGCTACTTGAGCTGCTAGGTAATGTCGCTGTATTCGTACTGTGCTCGTGAAGAATGATGTCCTTAATGGTCCCCTGAATCCAGCTTTCTTAATCCTTAAATTTAGTAGTTTAACTAACTTGAAACTGTTTTAAGTTTTCCAACTCCCTATATTCATAAGAACATAGTACCTTTCACAACACTTTTCAGCATACTTACCGATTATTCAGAGTAATGAATGTATATGTATGTATGACTAAAGTGAAATGCTGGCATTTTAAACACTGATGACCACTTTATATCTCTATTCAACCTATGCCTCTTGTAGAGAAGAAGAGTTAATTCCTTTTTAAAGGACAGGTCATATTGTTCATAGAGACTGTAACCATGGTTTATGAAAATAATTTTCTGTTTTTCAGGAAAAATTAGATATGTCGATGTATCCAGTTGAAACTATTAGAAACTTCAGTATTATAGCTCATGTAGATCATGGCAAAAGTACACTAGCAGACAGATTGTTGGAACTTACAGGTAAGTGTTCTCATTTTGTACTACCTTTTCTTGACATGTGAGATGGTGTGTAAGTTTCTGTAGCTTTGATTATTACTAAAATTTCTAATATCTCTGCTCTTCTAGTGCCAGGTTACTTATGCTTTTAGGCTGCCAGTTGTGTAGTGTTGCAGATGTGAATATGATGGACTTTCTGGTTGAGATCCTCCTACAGGTAGGGCTAAGGAAATACTTATTTTAGAAAGAGACTGAAAAGGAGTGTACTTTCTTGTTCAAGATGCTACTCCTGTTATTCCTGACCAATTGTCCTTTAGACCAGTACACAGCAAGTTTATGATATTTGCTGCCAGTGTTTGGGGTGGACAGAAGGGAGGACTGTCATGACCTAGGAGTTCTGGACAGAGTAGTTTTCAAAAGTTTCATTGAAACAGAGAGGAGCTTCAGCTGCTTATACTTAGATGAAAGTAGTGGTATGTCCTCTTGTGAGCAAACCATGAACTACTGCCTTTCATGGTGGTGGAGCTCACTGGTACTGAAGCTGATATGATGCTGCATTGTAAGTTTTAGAAATGTACAGCCCAATGTTGATTTAGATTTAGTGTGTAGAATAACTGCCAGTAATTGAGTGTAAATTCCATGGATTCTCAGCTACTGTATAGACTTGATTTTTCCTTCACTAAGTATTGGTGAAGCTGTGTTACTCACATCTTCAGAGGTATTTATTTTGCCATCATTGAAGTATTTTTTGGACTTCAGTGTTTTTATTTCTGTGATGTTGTTGAGGTTAAGGAAAACTACCCCTTATTAAAATGAAAGTGAGAAACAGAAGTGCTAAGGGATCTTCGTAAATCTAAGTGACTCTGAAACTAGGTTTTCCTTGGAAGAGAGAGACAGAGGTTGCCTTAGAAGGTGTTCTAAGGTAAGCTGTAAAGCAATTGCTCTATTCCCAAGAGGTGACTAATTTCAGAGCAGAGCATACATTAGCTACTTGGAAATACCCATTCGAAGAGTCTTACTTTTCTTATTTAAGGGGTGAACAAAAAAAAAACACCTGGGAGAGAAGCTTTTAATCATAGTTATTCTTTATGATTACCTCCTGTGTGTCATTATGGGCAATTTTACCTGATGCCTGTGATAGAATGGAGTTTTGAATTCAGGTCTGTCAAGCACTGTGATAATGCTCTTTTTGCACTTGAGAATGGCACTGGTTGGAGCTGTGGGCCACAGAACTCCTCTCCAGTGACAGGAGGTGAAGTTTCTTTAAACATCAAAGTTACTGAGCGCTGAATGGAATTTTTGCTACTTCTTAATCTCTAATTTAGATTTACATGATGTTTTGTATCCTGCTTATGCAGGGAAGTATTTTATATGACTTTATGTGAAAATTTATTTAAGAAATATTAAGAGATGAAGCATAATTTTATTTTTAAATGAAAATCTAAGTTTTGCTTAATCAGATGGAAAAGCTTCATTTGCACCTGCAGGTCCCATGTTCTCCTGGTTAATGGCATTTTCAATAATTATTTATTTTGAGAGCTAATGTACTAAATGAGGTAATAAAGCTTTTTTTTAATCTTAGGAACAATTGCTAAAACAGACCGTAATAAACAAGTGCTGGATAAACTGCAAGTGGAACGCGAAAGAGGAATTACAGTTAAAGCACAATCTGCATCTCTCTTTTACAGTCATCAAGGAGTAAACTACCTCTTAAATCTTATTGACACGCCAGTAAGTTAAGTATAAACAGTGTTTAAATTGCACAAAGCTAAATGTCCTTATGTTTAAAACAGTAGGAGATTTCTGCCTTCTTATGTTTATTCAGTTTCTTTTTTTGTAAGAATTGTGAACATACATACAAATTAAAACATTGTAATATAGAAATCTTTGAAAAGACTCTAGAAATACCTGAAATTGTAAACATTTATTTTCTCCACAGGGCCATGTAGATTTCAGCTATGAAGTATCACGGTCACTGTCTGCCTGTCAAGGTGTCATACTTGTAGTGGATGCAAATGAGGTGGAGTTCTTAATTCTCGTTTTCTACTTAGAATTTCAGTCATTCCTTTAAGCAACCTTAGAGAGAAGATTTGGGTTTTTTTTATTTTTTCCATCAGTGTTTTATCAGTGGTCTATCTCCGTAAAAGTACTATGTTTCAGAAAAAGATTAATAGGAGTTTTTAAAAAAAAAAAACTAAAGACAAATACTTATATGTCGATAGATACCGCAGTTCTATGACATAGCTATAAAAGCACATGATTGGTGAAGAATCAGATCCTACTTTTTTACAGAGCAGGAACTTTGCAAATGGCAGTCTGGAGAACTTTTAGCTAATGTACCAATACCCATTTGAGCACCTTTAGTTTGTTGTTGGAAAGCTTGATGACTCGTTCAACTGACCACCAACTAATTGCTGTTGTGTTTTTGATCCTCTGTAATACAAACCAATATTGGCAATGTTAAAGCTAAAGGATGCTATAAGCCAAATATGAATAAATTTATTCTGGAAGCTTGAGAAGTTTTATATCCACTAGATTAATACGTTCTTGACCTTTCAGGAGAAGCAGGAGAGTGAGGAAGTGAATGTTTGTAAGGTGATATGCTGTAAATTTACAGATGAAGTCTATACGAGGATGGAAATTGAAATTAGAGATCTTAGCTGTATTTTTATTTGTACAGTGCTAGAAACATTTTAAAGAATCAGTTAACAGACTAGACTATGAGGATTGTGTGACCATGATTTTAAATATGGACAAATTACGATGAAAATACTTTGTGAAAATTTTCTCTATGGCATATTTATGACTGGATTATACAAGAGTCAAATGAATGCTACTTTTTTCCTTGTTTTATGAAAAAACCAAAACCAAACCCAAAAAGCTAACTTACTTGCAATGATTATGAACCCATGCTCCTTCCTAGCTTGTTGGGCAAGTGGACTTCTTAAGTAAGCTTCGATAATAAATGTTTTCTAAATCTGCTGATGTTTTTGTATTTAATGTGTATATATTTTTATGATGTCACATCTAAATATTATGTGATTGGTATTCTGTATTTACCTTTCAGTCAGAATACTTACAAACTCAGCAATTATAATGAAAAAGTTACTGTTTATCCTGCCAGCCTGAATTTGGGAGGTAACTTTCAAGATGTAGGTCTTGCATTCTTTTTTTTTTTATATAAATGTTCTTGATGAGTAAGTTAAACAAGACCAGACCCAGAACTGACCCCTGGGGAACACCACTAGCTACAGGCCTTCAGTTAGACTCTGCACCGCTCACCATAACCTTTTGAGCTCTGTTTGGTGTACTTGGTGCATAACGTATGCATAATACTGTGTTATCTGTAAATAATTCCATGTAAGTGGTCACACATACAGCATTATTGGTTTATCTACTTACATTTAGGTTATGAGAAGTTATAATTAGGAATGTTGTTTTCTTTCTCTGCAACGTATATAATCAATAACCTTGACTTATTTTCCATCCCCCAAATGAAGGAGTGGATAGAATAGCGAAGTAATCTTGTATTGTATAGTATGCCTAAAAAAACCACTACCAAAACTCGGGAAGATTCCATGTTAAACTTTTTTAATGCTTATTTTCTAGGGTATTCAGGCTCAGACAGTGGCAAACTTCTATCTTGCTTTTGAAGCACAGCTTGCAATAATTCCTGTCATAAATAAGGTAATAAAAGTTCTAGTTTCACATTAAATAGTTGGGTTGTTTAAATCTGTAGAAGATTGATAAGAAATGTGTCCTAAAATGGAAGTATATAACGAAAAAATAACTAGAATGTAATAAGAACTTTGTGTATTTGTTGTCTGTTTAATATTTTTTAGTAGTTGCTGGAAACTTCAGTTTTTATTTCATAAAATACATGTAGAAGCATTTTACAGGCAGCACTGAAAAATTATTACTGGAGTCTGTATGGTAAATCAAGTTCAGAAGCATTGTGTAAATTGTATCTTGATAAGGAAATCTGAACCAGTTATAATGTGCAAACAAAGAAGCCACTTAGGTAATACTCCATACTGTCTATTTTATCCTGATGAGAACAAGTTGAAGCTGTGGCATTCTAGGGTTTCAGATTGATTTGATGTTAAATACAGGTGAGAATATTTAGCTAGTATGGGCTTTTCATAGAATCATTTAGGTTGGAAAAGACCTTTAAGATCATTGAGTCCAGCTGTAAGCCTAGCAGTGCCAAGTCCACCACTCAACCATGTCCCTAAGCACGACATCTGCATGTCTTTTAAATTCCTCCAGGGGTGGTGACTGCCCCACTTCCCTGGGCAGCCTGTTCCAGTGCTTGACAACCCTTTTGGTGAAGAAATTTTTCCTAATATCCAATCTAAACCTCCCCTGGCGCAACCTGAGGCCGTTTCTTCTTGTCCTATCGTTGGTTACTTGTGGAAAGAGGCTGACCCCCACCTGGCTACAACCTCCTTTCAGGTTAGTCATAGAGGGCGGTGAGGTCTTCCCTGAGCCTCCTCCAGGCTAAACAACCCCAGCTCCCTCAGCTGCTCCCCATCAGACTTGTGCTCCAGATCCTTCCCCAGCTTTGTTGCCCTTCTCTGGACTCACTCCAGCACCTCAAGGTCTGTCTTGAAGTGAGGGGTCCAAAACTGAACACAGTACTCAAGGTGCGGCCTCACCAGTGCTGAGTACAGGGGGATGATCTCTTCCCTCGTCCTGCTGGCCACACTATTCCTGATACAAGCCAGGATGCTGTTGGCCTTCTTGACCACCTGGGCACACTGCTGGCTCATGTTCAGCCGGCTGTCGACCAACACCTCCAGGTCCTTTTCTGCCAGGCAGTTTCCTAGCTACTTTTCCACAAGCCTGGGGTGTTGCATGGGGTGCTTGTGATTTGGACATGAACGGCCAGAAAGGTGCAGGTTAACCAGCATGTGCTCTGCCATGCTGCATGCAGGCTGGTTGTCATGTGGCTTTTGGACAGTACTAATCCTGTTTTTTGAAATACCAGACTTTTAACAGCTGTGATTTTCAAATTGGAAATTACAGATGTGAGTGATTTAGAAGGCTGTCAGTGTGAGCTTAGGTTGTCTTGTATGTATACATTTGCCTTAGTGACGTAGTAACTTGTATAATTTCTGCATCCCTTGTCAGTTGACTCTTTAACCTGAGAACACTTAAGACTCCTAACTGTGGATAGGAAGGTGTGTGGATATGAAGGACTTAGATAATTTGGGCTATATGTAACAATCCTGTAGCCTATCATAATTTAAATGCACCAGTTCATTAACACTGGAACTCCTTCCATTTAAAATAATTTTTTGTGATCAATCTTTGAGTGGCTTTTTACAGATGTAACTTCAAAGGTTCTTGCTATGATAATCCATATATTCCTCCATGTGCTTTAGTGTTTTGTTTGTTTTTTTTTTCTTTTTGTTAATGATGGTACACAGAGGAGATTACCTGAGTAGGATCTCAATATTTAGGAACTGTAAGAAGTGTAGTCTTAGTTTTAAATTAAATCCAAATGTTGTGGTTTATATAATTTTTGTAGGCTATATGATTGGAATCAGAAGATTAGGTATTGCTCAGCTTAAGTTAATTGCTTTTTGTGGATTTGTACTTAATGTTTGATCCTATAAACAGTATAGGTAGCACGCTTTCAAATTACTCTGTAAAATAAAGATTTTTTTTTTTACCAGCTCTTGGACAAAGGTGTTTTGCCTAATAAAACAAACAACAAATAGTCTAGTTACAGAGGGGATCCTTCCTGAAGTCAAGCAAGGAAGACTTTTTCTAAAATGAATCTTGATAAAGATCTTTTCCTGAAGACATCCAGTATTTACCCGTAAATACATAGAGGTTTCTTGACTTATATATTTGGGAACTACAGTGCTGAATCATATGGAAGACATGATTGCCTGTGTATTTAGCAGTTTTTTGTCTTTCAGATTGACTTGAAGAATGCAGATCCTGAAAGAGTTGAAAAACAAATTGAGAAGCTGTTTGATATCCCTATAGATGAATGTGTAAGGGTAAGATCTCTTAAAGTTTTATAACATGGCTGATTGTATAACTGTATCTACTCTGTAGCTAATGAAAGACATGTACATATAGTAAATGAACAGGGTGCCATCTGTCTGCCTGTCTTTGTCTGACATACATGAATTTCTTTAGTTTGTCTCTTGGAAAAGAAGAGTGGAGAACATACTTCTTGGTTAAAAATTCTAGTATGGCTTGATGAATAGTATCAGGTAGATTTTAAATTATTTCTCATTGTGAGTCCATAAATTGCTTACATTTTTACCGTAACAATAATTGCCATTCAGGAGAGAAAAATGTTGCAGAATAATTGATAATCAAAGAAGCATTTCATAGTAATAGCATTCTAAAGTGTGCTTCAGAATGCTTTTATGGGTGGTATTATCTGTGGCCACCAAAACTGTCTAAATAAATGTGACACTATTAAATATAGATACTGAATGAGTGTAAGACATATGCCTTATAAAATTGTTGTTGGACTTGTTTTAGATTTCTGCTAAACAAGGAACAAATGTTGAAAGAGTTCTTCAAAAGGTCATTGAGAAGATTCCACCGTAAGTTTGTATTTAATTATGAAACCTTATAAGGTTAATTAGGAAACCATGAGTTGCGTTTATACAGTATTGGCAGTAGTTTTGCACTTAATATTCACCTGATTTGAAGTGAATACTTCAAATAAAGAGATGTGAGAGGAATCGAATGTTGGAGCTGGTTAAGTCAGTTTTGCATTGCAAATCAGAAAAAATGACACTTCATATTTGAGTTGCCTTTTAAGAAATGACTGAGTGTCAGCAGAGAAGAATTCTTTATTCTTAAGAAGCAGGAGAGGAAAACTAATTCCTCTGAAATGAAAGATAAGAGGTAAGCCACTAAAGGTGATACTTTTATGACTGTTTATATAGCTTCCATGAAACTTGGTGTTTGAGGGTGTGTGCTGTTACTCCTTTTGAACATTGTATTGTTGAAATAAAGGTAATAGAAATATGCTGTGTTTAGACTTTCATATCCTGAACCTTAAAATGGACTTTTGTCTAAGAACTTGATGACAGAGCTGCTAAATTACAATTCAGTTTCAATTAGCATACTGCTTTTCATTCTTTTTTCCTACTATTAACTCATAATTGTAGTCCTCATAATAATTAATAATTATAGTTAAACCACAATGAAAATCTGATATTAGGTTTCTATGAAAGTTGGCAGAATATCAGTGGACTTTATTGTGAACGCAGCTGTTGGAATGTCACTGTTGAATTTTTCTTGTCCCCTATAGTATGATGTTTTAAGCATCAGTTTTACGTGTTGTGAAATAGGTATGATGCATGGGCATTTGTTTTTGTTCTATTTGTACTGCTGTTGCATGTGGGGGAAATAAAATATAAAGATTTGCTACATAATACATTGTGAAACACTGATATGTTTCTGTGGTATGTATTTACTGAAAATTACTCGGTAGTTTTATCTATATTAACATGAAAATGGCCAACTTGCTGAGATGGGCTTTAAACTGAAGGACCTGGGGGGTGGGGTCCAAAGCGGCAATGCTCACGCCATTCCAACCAACTGGGGAATAAGCCAGGGCAACTCCGGCAGCGACAAATGTTCCTTAGGTGCCTCCCAAGATGGAGAACCAAAAGACCAACCGCCTCAAGTCTACATATACCAACATACGCAGCCTGAGGAATAAACAGGAAACAGGAGGAACTGGAACTTTGCACCCGGTCAGAAAGTTATGATATTGTAGGAATAACTGAAACATGGTGGGACAACTCACATGACTGGAGGGTCACGATGGATGGCTGTAGGCTGTTTCGTAAAGACAGGCAGGGAAGAAGAGGAGGAGGAGTTGTGCTCTATGTGAAGGAGAACCTTGAATGTATAGAAGTCAGCTATGGCGATTGTGGAGGCCCTGCCAAATGCCCCTGGGTCAAGATCAGAGGGGTCATCTCTGAGGAGGATCTTACAGTAGGCATCTGCTACTGACTTCCAAACCAAGACAGGAAGGCCAGTGAAGTGATATTTGGGTCACTAAAGCAAGCTTCGGGTCAACAGAACCTGGTTCTTATGGCTGACTTCAACTACTCAGACATTTGTTGGAAGAACAATACAGCAGCTCGCATGTCATCCATCAAGTTTGTGGAATGTGTAGAGGACTGCTTCCTCATATGAATGTTAGATGTGCCAGCCAGGAATGAGGCACTGCTGGATTTGCCACTCACAAACCAAGAAAACCTGCTTTGTAATATCTCGGTCAGTGATAGCCTTGGCTGCAGTGATCACAGTATTGTGGAGTTTGGGATCCTGCTGAGCATGCTGAAAGTTAGTACTAAGACAAAGGTTTTAGATTTTAGAAGAGCAAACTTCAGCTTGCTCAGAGCTCACTTGGGAAGGATTCTGTGGGAAGCTTCCATGGAGGATATAGGAGCTAGCAAGTACTGCGAGTTTTTCAAGAATGCTCTCCTGGAAGCAGAAAACCAGTTCATCCCCTTTAAAGGTAAGGGAAGTAGGTGGAGCAAGAGACCCCTTTGGCTTAAGTGTGAGCTGCTCAGTCTGCTCAAAAACAAAAGAGAAGCTTATGAGAGATGGAAAAGTGGACAAATACCTGTTGAGAACTACAAGGGCATTGCCAGGGCATGCAGAGATGAAGTTAGAAAAGCAAAAATCTCAACTTAAATTGAAATTGGCCAGAGATGTCAAAAACAACAACAAAGTGTTCCTTAGGTGTGTAAACAACAAGCAGAAACATAAGGAAAATATTGGCTTGTGGTTAAACAAGAGAGGTGAATTAGTTGTCAACAATGCTGAAAAGGCAGAGGTTCTCAACACTTTCTTCACCTCTGTCTTTACTGTTGGGCCCCAGGCCTTGGGAACAAAAATCCAGGTTGATGCAAACACAGACCCATGTCAGTGAAGGAAGAGTTGGTATGTGAACTGTTACAGGAGCTTGGCCCCTACAAATTGATGGGCCCTGAAAATAACCACCCAAGGGTGTTAAGAGAGCTGGTTGAGGTTGTTGTGAGGCTGCTCTCCATAAACTTTGAGAAGTTGTGGAGATAGGGGGACATCCTAGAAGACTGGAAGAAGGCTGATGTCACACCCCTCTACAAGAAGGGCTTAAAGGATGATCCAGGAAACTACAGGCCCATCAGTCTTTCTTCAGTCCCTGGGAAAGTAGTTATGGAACGAATCCTCCCTGGGATATCACAAGTAAAATGAAGCATGTGATTGGGAAAAGCCAGTGTAGATTCACCAAGGGCAAATTACGCTTGACAAACCTGATCACCTTCTACAACAAAGTAACCTGCTTAGTTGAGGTGGAGTAAGCTATGGACATTGTCTACCTGGATTTCTCCAAGGTTTTTGATATGGTTTCCCACAGCTGCCTCCTTGAGAAACTGATGTGTTACAGTCTAGGCAAGTGGTCTGTGCAGTGGGTGGGGAACTGGCTGAGGGACTGCACTCGGGGTGGTGGTAAACAGCTCCTTTTCGAACTGGCAGCCTTTTACAAGTGGGGTCCCCCAGGGATCGATATTGGGCCCAACGCTGTTGACTATCTTCATAAGTGATCTGGATGATGGGATCAAGTATACTCTGATGCTACCAAACTGAGTGGGGAATTGGACACTTCGGAAGGGAGAGTCACCCTGCAGGAAGACCTGGATAGGCTGCAAGAGTGGGCTAACAAGAACCTTATGAAATTCAACAAACACAAATGTAAGGTCTTGCACCTGGGTAAACATAATCTAGGAGTGCAGCACAAGTTGGGATCTACCTGTCTTGGGAGCAGATTTGTGCAAAGGGACCTGGGGGTCCTGGTGGACAAGAAGCTCAATATGAGTGAACAGAGTGCTGCTGTGGCAAAGACAGAATAGGATGCTGGGTTGCATCAACAATAGCATCACCAGCAGAGATAGAGAAGTCATTATCCCACTCAGTGCTTGTCAGGCCACACCTGGAATATTGTGTTCAGTTTTGGCACCTGCTATACAAAAAAGCTGTGGACAGGCTGGAGAGGGCCCAGAGAAGGCCACAAAGATGATCAAAGGACTGGGAAGCCTGCCATGTGAGGAAAGGCTGAGAGAACTGGGTTTGTTCAGCCTTGAGAAAAGAAGGCCTAGGGAAGACCTTATCACCATGTTGCAGGATTTAAAGGGTGGCTACAAAGGAGATGGAGACTTCCTTTTTACAAGGAGTCACATGGAAAAGATGAGGGGTAATGGGTACAAGTTACTCCTGGGGAGATTTCAGTTGAGCACAGGAGGAAAGTTTTTCACAGTGAGAACAATGAACCATTGGAATAATCTCCCTAGGGAAGTGGTGGATTCCCCAACATTGGATGCACTTTAAGATTTGGCGGGACAGGGTGCTGGGCCATCTTGTCTAGACCATGCTTTTGCTAAGAAAGGTTGGACCAGATGATTCTTGAGGTCTCTTCCAACCCGGTATTCTATGAAAGTTTTTGAGGTGGGGGTGCTTGCTTATTCAATATTGAATGAAAAGCATGCTGTGTAATGTATTGTTTTAAATTTTTTGTGACAGACCTCAGTGTGAAACTGCTCATCCATTGAAAGCCCTAGTATTTGACTCCACCTTTGACCACTACCGAGGTGTTATAGCTAACATTGCACTCTTTGGTGGGGAGATTCAGAAAGGGCATAAAATTGTGTCTGCGCACACAAACAAAAGATACGAAGTTAATGAAGTTGGAATTCTGACTCCAAATGAACAGCCAACACATAAGCTGTAAGTAAAAATTTCTTACAGTGGAACAAATCATAAATTGGTGTAAGGTACAAAATCCTACGTTTCTGTTTGGTGTTTTCTTTGAGTGGTAAAGGCTGGGAGATGTCTGGGGTTTTGTTCTTGTTCTTTGGTGGTGGGTTTTTTAATGATTATTATTTGTAATTTAATGCTCAATGTCAGTCTTTTTAATTTTGGGCTTGCTGAGGCCCAAGCTTTTGGGGACTGCTTTTTGGGCACTGCTAGAGGGAGGAAGCCATTCTGTCCTCTATAGTACATGGAACATCTGGACAGCTAGGTTTTTTTAAGAGTAGCATTTGATACTCATATTCAGCTGTCAAATTTATTTCTAGGAACTACCTTGTATGAGAGTGGAAGGGAATGGGGCTTCATCTTAGTTATTGCTGCAGCATGTTTTTGAGGGTGGAAAACTTAAAATCCATGAATACGACAGCTTCCAGAAACTGGTTCCTCATGGCAGCAGTGGGAAGAAAATCAGGTACTTAGAATTAGTGGAGAAGTTTCACCAGTTTGCATCTAAGTATGTGTAATGACTTTCTTGGGAGATTCTCAGTGAGACTACATTACTGTGTCTGGTGGGTTGAACCCAGCCAGCAACTGAGCACCCAACTAGCCACGTGCTCACTCCCCCGACCCTAGTGGGGTGCGGGAGAGAAGTGGAGGAGCAAAAGTGAGGTGGGACTCATAGGTTAAGATAAAGACAATTTAGTAAGTGAAGGAAAAAGAAAAGAAATAAAAACAAGCGATGCAAATGCAATCAGTTATTCACCACCTCCCACAAGCAGACTGATGCCTTGCTAGTCTACAAGTAACAGCCACCTTGGAAAGACTACACTCCTTTTTTGTTGCCAAGCATGACGTTATATGGCATGGGAGATCCCTTTAGTCAGTTTGGGTTTGCTGTCCTGGCTGTGTCACCTCCCAGTCTCTTGCCCACCCCTGGCCTATTTGCTGGAGGGGCAGAGTGAGAAACAGAGAAAGCCTTTACACTGTGCAAGCACTGTTCAGCAATAGCTAAAACATTGATATGTTATCAACACCATTTTAGTCTCAAATCCGAAACACAGCGTCATACAGGGCTGCTATGAAGAAAGTTAACTCCATCCTAGCCAAAACCGGTACATTGTGTTTTTATCTACCATGGGTTCTTCTCCCAACAGCATCATGTGCTGATGGAGGGTGTTTGTCTCTTGTTTCTCCCTCATAGTGTATGAAGCTTGCTGTGGTGGCAGCTGGAAACTGTTCTGGATTCTGTGTCTTAGATCCTTGGGAAGCTCCTTCTAGGTCCAGCTTTTAAACTGGGAGAATCCAGAACTATAAATGTACTGTTTACCTGTAACAGAAATAGAGCTACTTGAGACAGTTTACAACTCAGAGGAGAAACAATGTAAATCTGGCTTCTAGACTGTGTATGGGCTTTTAGGGGGGTGATTTATTTGAATTTCTGGTTGGGCTAAATCAAGTAGGACAAATAGTGGAAATATTGATAATGCTAAGAAGCATGTCCATATAACACCGATTTTTATTTAGATATGCTGGACAGGTGGGCTACCTGATCGCTGGAATGAAAGAAGTAACAGAAGCCCAAATAGGAGACACACTGTTTTTGCATAAACAGCCAGTGGAACCTTTGCCTGGCTTTAAGTCAGCGAAGCCAATGGTTTTTGCAGGTGAGGAGTAAACTGATATAAAGCGGAATTACTTTTTTCCAGTACCAAGAGCAAGAGAGCTGTTAGAGCTTTTAAAAGAATATATGCATATATTAAGAGTTGTAAGGATTAGAATTTTAGCGAAGTTAAGCTATGGAGGCATGTAATTTATATAGCTTTGTGTAATTTTCCTGGTGACTTAAGAGACAGGATTAATAATAGTTGCAGACTGGTTTTGTATGAATACAAGACTAACATGTATTTTTAGCCATGATTATTGCTTTTAATGTCAGTAAACTCTTGATAGCTGGAAAAGAAGAGTTGAGACTTAAAAAAAAAAGTCAATTTTTGGGAATTCTTCATCAGGTTTCTATAATTATTGTGATTTTATTTTTTCCCCTTTTAAAAATCAACAGCTGTTTCATTTTTGTTAAGCATGGTAAACTGCCAAAGCTAATACTTGGAATGATTCTATAAAATATTTTTACTTTTTAAGCTTGAATAGTTCTGTTGAACTGTTGCCACCAGCTTCAGTAACTACTACAAATGCTATGGAAGATGGCTTTAGAAAGAAATAAATTCTGTAAATCATTTCCTAGACTTGTTGTGAAGGCATGTGTAAAACTCACTTGGACTGTCTTATGGAGATTAGGTGGTCTGTCAGTGAATGTAGAAAAGTGTGTTGCTTCTTGGTGTAGAGTAATCTACATTTTCTGAACACATGGTGAAGTGAAAAGTGATACAGTAGAACTTATTTCAGGCAGTAATTATACAAACAGCTGATTTTATTAATCTTAAAAAAATACAGAAACATATGAAATGGCATTTTTTTTGCCATTCACTCTTACCTTTGAAGGAATATCTCAGTAAAATCTGTCTGCTTATTCAGTTATGGTTAAGCTATATGTTTACACTGCAACCCTGCAGAACAATGGTTATACTCAATTGTGCATATTCCACAACTGTGAAGGATTAGATGAGTGCAGTGTCCTTACCATTATGGTTTGAATGTTAATTCTGAGGTAATCTAAAACTATTTCATTTCGACTAATTTTTAAAAAAAGACAATACAAGGGATTTTTTTTTCACATTTAAAACCAGTTGGAACAGAAAGTAAGCGATTTCTGATTCTATTACTGTGTTCACTGTAAGAGGCATATTTGAAAGTTAAGTACACACTAGATAAAGCTCTCTACCACATCACTTCTATCTAATATATTTTGACAGGAATGTATCCTGTAGATCAAACAGAATATAATAATCTCAAAAGTGCTTTGGAAAGGCTGACATTGAATGACTCCAGTGTAACTGTTCATCGTGACAGTAGCCTTGCCTTAGGAGCTGGATGGAGGTAAGGCTTTCATACTGCTTTCATTTTTGGAACTGTTTGTGATTTGAGAATGCAGGTTTAAGTCAACTGTAGATAAAATTAATTAAAGATTAGGATCTTTAATGCAAATTAATGATAGGTAAAGATCAAAAGCATTTGATTTTCTTATACTTGTGTTTGCAGAGAGTGTGAAATTTGTTGTGATTTGATAGTTTTTGTTCTCCAAGACTCACCACTATTAAACTGTGGGATGATTTGGTCTTTTAGAGGTTGTTTGCTCTGCCTGATATTGCCAGACTAGCAGTATAAACATGCTGGAGGGTCAAAAAAACCCCAACAAAACAAAAAGAAACCACTATAAAATTCCAGGGCATATACTTTTACCAACAGGATACTTTTTTCCTAGGTTGGGTTTCCTTGGTCTTTTACATATGGAAGTTTTTAATCAACGTTTGGAGCAAGAGTATAACATATCTGTTATTTTGACTGCACCTACAGTTCCATATAAAGCTATTCTTTCCTCAGCAAAGTTGATAAAGGTATGTTAAATTTATTACAACTTTATGTAAAAAGCAGCTTAAAAGCCTCCTATTATAAAAATCTACACTTTTTTTTAATGTAGGCTAGTACTTATATTTTATGGTAAACATTAGAAACACCAGTATTTAACTCAAAACGTTTTTTAATAGATTTTTTTTTTTTTTTAAAAAAAAGATGTTAACTTTCTTTCCCCCTTCTACTTCAAGCCCTCTCTTTTATGTCTTACATCTGTCCTTGAAAATGGGAATTCTCCTGGTTTTGGCTGGGATAGAGTT